GTACTCTAACATTCCTATGGTGCACATACAACCCAAATGCTTTGGATCTACGTTTTCTCTAATTATACATGCAATATTGGTTTCCAAAGCATGAATCCTAAACTAGCATACAAAATTTGACGTATGAATCATAAAAACTAGTAAAAAGATCACCTCTTGATGTAGCTAGTAGAACTTTGGCCTTTAAGAGCTTAGCACCTCAAGTGTGATGCCTCAAATGTCTTACAACAAACCAAAAACAAAAGGAGGAACTTGAGATAGAGGCTTGGGAGCACAAAATCGGCTAGCTTCTACTTTAGTGTGCATGGGGGGCCGATTTAGGGAGTTAGGGGTTACTTTTATAGCCTGGGATTTCAACCATGCAAACCTAATTCACCATGACTCTTCACATTACATAGGCCTTTTGGGCTAAACCTTACATGTACTCTCATATAGGTTTAGTCCAACCCTAGTTAACATGGATCATGGGTCCAACTATAAGTATTATTGATTTACCTAATCACTCCACGTAACTTTAATCAGTCTCTTTTGATCACCAAATTATTTCCAAATTAATTCTTGACCAATAATAATTAAATAATGTGATTTCTCAATTAATATATTATACTTATAATATATTAATAAATCACAATAACCTCTTCTCAAATATCCATCCTATCAAATTGTTCCAGAGAGTTGCAACCCAAATGGACCATGCTATTTTCGGGTCAAGTACATACCAATTATAGTTATGGGCTTAGAAACCTAATCCAACAGAAATCACCTTCGATGAACAAGATATCCAGGATCCTCATCATGATGAATTAGTGATAACTCTCTACATCACCAATCACTTTGTCAAAAGGATCCTGGTGGACGGAGGATCCTCGGTGAACATCATACTGTTAGATGCTCTTACCTGGATGAACATCCTAGAATCCAAGATAATCAAGATATCCTCTATACTAATAGGATTCATCGATGAAACGAGGCATACTATTGGAGATATCAAGCTACCCATCTACAATGAAGGGGTAAATTCTATGCAACGCTTTTGTGTTATTGATGCTTTATCTTCCTACAATGTTATATTAAGTAGGCCCCAGATCCTTGACATGAAATCGGTTCCATCAATGTACCATCATTATGTTAAGATGCCTACCCCTAGGGGAAAATGAAGATTATTAGTGATCAACAAGAATCCAAAGAATGCTACAAGACCTCGATGAATCCTTCCTCAGCACCAAGAAAAGCATAACAATTAAAGCGGGGGGCATGAGACATACTAGAAGCAAATGAGAAAGATATAAAAGAAGTGCCCCTAATCTTGAGGATCCTGACGCCAAAGTACTCATAGGATCCTCAATAACACAAGACATCGAAAAGGACGTAGTTACATTCTTGAAAGAAAGAAGGAAAACCTTCGCATGGAAACACAAAGACATGACAAGTATAGTAACAATATTATAACTTATAAACTTAGCATTGATCCTTCTTTCAGACCTATACATCAAAAGAAGAAGAAGAAGGAAGTCCGCACCCAAAAGGGACCAAATCATCCAAGAGGAAGTTGAAAAACTTCTTAAGACATGAACGATTAAAAGTCAAGTTCCCAAGATGGCTAGCCAACGTGGTGGTAGTACAAAAGAAGAACGGAAAATGGCGAGTATATGTGGACTACACAAATCCTAATTAGGCTTTCTCTAAGGATCCTTTCCCTTTTCCACACATCGACTCCATGATAGATGCCATGACATGCCATGGATTACTACATTCATGGACGCCTCGGTTGGATTCCAACAAATATAAATGGAACCATCCGATCAAAAAGATACTACCTTTATAACCCCTACAGGTATATATTTCTATATTGTTATGGTTTTTGGCCTTAAAAATGTAGGGACAACGTACCGAAGACTAGTGAATCCAATGTTCAAGGATAAACTGGGGGACACCATGGAAGTCTACATTGATGACATGGTGGTCAAATCCAAAAGAGATGAAGATCACCTCATGGATTTTGAAGAAGTCCTTAATATATTAGATGAATACAAAATGAAGCTGAACCCATCCAAGTATCACTTTGGAATAAAGTCAGGCAATTTCCTTGGTTACATGGTCACCAAAAAGGGAATAGAAGCGAGTCCTGGCCAAGGATCTTCGAATGGGAACCAATCCTCCTACATCTTTCAATATCTTCAGATACTGTAAGTGTTGTTCTGGCCAATGATCTTGATGGCGAACAACAACTTGTTTACTATGTAAGCAAAAGTCTCTTGGTTCCTGAAACCTGGTACTCTCTCCTTGAAAAACTAATACTTACACTAGTTACGACTTCTACCAAACTAAGATATTATTTTGAAACTCATACTATACATTTCAAAAATCACTATCTTATTAAGAATGTCATGAGAAAACCAAAAATGTTAGGAAGAATGACTAAGAGGTCAGTGAAGCTCATCACATATGACATTAAATATGAGCCAAGATCCTCAATAAAGCCACATGCATTAGCAGACTTTGTGGCTAATTTTAGTGATGATCTACAACCTGAGGTAGAAATCCAATGACTTCAAAAAGAATAAAACATGGCGGAGTGGATACTCTTTTGTAACAACGTAAATTTTCAAAACAACTTTTCATTTTCAAATCAAACTTTCAACCACATGACAATCACAAAACATAATGTATCACTGTGTCATAACAAAACATGTCCCAAGATCTCATATACATAATTCCATCAGTGTGTACGGATCATGCTGGCGCCTTCCCGCGATCCTCGCTAGTACCTGAAACACATCACACAACAACTGTAAGCATAAATGCTTAGTGAGTTCCCCAAAATACCACATACTACACATACGCCACTAGAGGCTACAGTACGACCCTCCGGTCGATGTGTCTCAGAGGGACCCTCCAGTCCTGTAGCTCGTTGGACTCTCTGGTCCGGTCATAGCTCGTTGGACCCTTCGGTCCGGTCTGTATCGTTGGACCCTTCGGTCCGGTCTATATCATTGGACCCTCCGGTCCGGTCTATACAACACATAGCATACATATATCACAATGCACATAATTATACATAACACATAGCAAACAAGACCCTTCGGTCTACACATAAATACCACTCTAGGTAATGTATAGTGAGAAGACTCACCTCGGGTATCTCGGATGATCTCGCACACGAATCTACTGATCTAGCCCCCGCCTAATCACATACACAATATCCTCAAATAAGTAATGGCTCTCAAAGGCTAGATTAAACCCCCTTCTACGATCCCTCAGAAGGGTAAAAGACCATTTTACCCCTCTTTGACTCAAAAGTCCAACTGTTGACCGAAACCCTAAAAGTCAACGAAAGTCAACGGCCACACTTTGACCCGACTCGCCGAGTGCACTCGGGTGACTCGGCGAGTACACGCCTGCCCTCTTCGCCCCTGATCCTCTCTTGACTCGCTGAGTCAACCCGATACTCCATGGGTCGTCACAGGTCGCGAGTCATGGGGCAACCCGACTCGACTCGTCGAGTCCCTTATGGACTCGGCGAGTTCCTCCCATGAAAACTCTCAAAAGATCTCTTGAGGTCAGATCTGCTTCACCAAACAGTAGATCCATCCTTCTATCATTCAAAAGTCACGTAAAGGTGCAACCTTTACGTGCATGCAACCCATATCAAGCCTCAAATGGAGAAATATCACTAGAAATGGCAACCTAGTCGCTAATTGCTTATTTGCTTGCAAAAAGCTAGAAGGTAGTGACTCTAGGGGCCTCTCAAGGTCCGGATCTGATATTATCAACACAAAGGGGACCTCATACTCACTAGATCTTATATAAAAGGGAGGTAAAAACCCTAAAATCATGAAATCTATCATATCAACACGAAATAGAAGGAATTATACCTCCAGAGACAATATCTCAAGATGATTAGCTCCAATCCAAGCTCCCTTCACGTTCTAGATGGATCCTCTCTTCTTTTTCTAGCAAAAACCACCCCAAAATGAAGATTATAAGCCCTTTCTTACACTCAAGCCTTCCTCACTCTCTCTAGGGTTTCTCTGGAACAAGGTGGCCTCAAATGACGGCCATAAGGGCCTTTAAATAGGGCACAAGCCCCGAAAATTAGGGCTTCATTTAACAGCGCGGACTCGCCGAGTCCACGCATGGACTCGCCGAGTCCATTCATTAAATCCAGGCTGTCAATGCGCGATTCTACTCGGCGAGTCAGAGCGCCTACTCGCCGAGTCCCTCTCTAAAATTCACTAACAACACTAAAAATAAGATACATGGGTATCCGGATGTTACATCTTTACAGATGGAGCATCCAACTTTAGAGGTCCAACTTTAGAGGAGCAGGCCTTGGGATCATACTAAAATCGTCGCATGGGGACATCCTACCCCAGACAGTTAGTTCTGAATTCCATGTAACTAACAATGAAGTAGAGTATGAAACACTGATCATGGGGCTCAACTGGCCAAGGATCTTCAGAGTAAGGATCTTCAGGTATATGTCGATTCATTATTAATAACTAACCACCTTAATGGATTCTATGCAGTTAAAGGTACGTCGCCGCTTCAGACGTACCCCTATATCCGGGTGGCGGAGGCGGAGGCGCTGGCGAGGGGAACCGGGCAACACTATTGCCGACTCTCATCTCCTTTGTTGTTCTCCAAAGTCGACGGGTCATAATTAATCATATCTATGAATTTTAAGTTTCAAAATATGAGATAATTAATTACCTATATCCTTTCGATTTATACCCTTTTTCTTTCAATTTCTCTCCCTTAATCTGATTTTGTTGCTTCCGGTAACCGTGAGAACACCAAAATACGAAACATAAGAGCTAACCTTTAATCACCACCTTCAAAAATCCTTCAAAACAATGTTTCAAACATAAACATCTGAAGTCGAAAATCAGAAATAGTAGTAGCAAAAGAGTCTAGAAGTTAGTGGTTGTGGCTGCACCACCACCGAAAAACGTCGCGACTACTGTAGTTGCTCGATAGATAGTCAGGTGCGATATTATATGGAGAAAAGAAGCAGTAGAAGTAAAGGAGACGGTGAGGTGCGATATTTCAGAGAGGCGGTATGGAAGGATCTGGAGACTGATGGAGATAAGGTAAAGAAGAAATAGCAAAGGCAAAAGCAACACGTGTCCACAAAAAATATGGATATTGCATAAAATGACCCTAAAAACGAATTTAAACATATATCTATAGACAGAGGACCATTTCTGTCAAAAAGGACACAGGTTCACTAAGAATTCGGGTTGGAATGGATGCTGTCATTTTTCTAAATAAAAATTTTAATTTAAAAATATTAGATTACTCAATTTCACCCTTAACCCTAGATCATGTAAACTCATTAGATATCACGATTCTAAAGAGATGAAACAACGCCGTGCTCCTCTTCACTCTTCTCTTCTCGCTTTCTACTATCCAAGAGCAATCGCCGTCGACCTTTGTATCCTCAGCGGTGCAGACCCCACCCTCACCGTCAAATCAACACGGCGGGAATAGAAGAGCTCGAAACTCCAGCAGCCAGCTCCACGCCTCCGTTTCTCCCGTTTCCACTTTCTAGCCTCCACTCCTTAGCGGCACCGGCGACGGCACAGATCTTCCCCATCAGGTCATTTTTAATTTTTGAGATTCCCAACATTCCCATGTCTAAATTCCGAATACATCTTAGTTTTTTAAGCTTACTCTGTTCATGACTCCATGTGTTTCATGTTCCATTGCTGATATATTGATATACATTGCTGATATGTGCTTCATGAAGCTTATTCTGTCAATGACTCCATGGTTTTTCTGATTTATTCTTTTAAGGACTCCATAGTTTTTCTGGTTTATTTTGCTTCATGTAACCTGTCATATGCATTGCTGAAGATGGCTAAGAAATAAATCTGATATGTGCTGACATATGTAATCTGTAATCTGTCTATACTCTATAAATCTGATATGTAATATGATATTGATTTAATTATTTTGGTGTTACAACAGTGAACTAGAAATGGCTAATATTGCTGATATGATTCAAGAGGTATTTTGTTTCATTTAATCATCATAATTTTTTTTAAATAAAAATACAAACAATGTGGTTGAAATTCAGATCCAAGGGCGTCATGCCGATGCTACTAACTTAAGTAACACTATTCATGGAAGAGTTGAAACTATAAGGTTGAGATCCCTTGCAACAAACAACGAATTTGAAATTGCTCGACTACGAGTTAGGTGCACTGGACTTTTTACCAGAATTCTTTGGTATGTAAACATAAATGGTTTTTGAATCTTAATTAATATTTTTTATATTATTAACTAATAAAGTTATATTTTTAATTTATCAGGCTTGAAAGTTTTCAGTATCTTCTCGAAGACCTTGAAGATAACTTGCACACTTTACAACTAGTACTTGATGTTTCACACTTTGCGCAAGGCTTGGTAATTCCACAATTAACTTTTCAATGATTTTAATACCGACTTTCATAGCAATGTGCTTTCTGTTTTTGTCAAATTACGACCCCACTTTCATTTTCTGCTTTGACAAAGAGCAATGTCCTTCCATATTTGATAAAATATGGAAGTACATTGTTTTTTGGCTAAACAGAAAATGAAAGTGGGGTCGTAATTTGACAAAAACAGAAAGCACATTGCTATGAAAGTCGGATGCTATATTTCACAAAATATCTTTAAATTTTGTTACTTTTTGTCAAAAAATATAACAAAAATTAAGATATTTTGTGAAATATAGCATCTGACTTTCATAGCAATGTACTTTTAGTTTTGTCACAAATATAGAATCCCACTTCTATTTTTTGTTTTGTCAAAAAAGCAATGTACTTCCATATTTTGTCAAATATAGCATCCTACTTTTGTTTAATATAGAAAAGTTAAATAAGATGCTATATTTGACATAATATGGAATTACATTGCTCTTTGGCAAAGCAGAAAATGGAAGTAGGATTCTATATTTGTGACAAAACTAAAAGTACATTGCTATGAAAGTCGGTACTTAAATCATTGAAAAATTAATTGTGAAAATACCATTTCTGCCCCAACATGTACTTTCAGTTTTTGTAAAATATAGCATACTATTTAATTTTTCTATATTAGACAGAACAAAAAACAAAAGTAGGATGCTATATTTGACAAAATATGGAAATACGTTGTTTTTTTGGCAAAACAGAAAATGAAAGTGGGATGGTATATTTGAGAAAAACCGAAAGCACATTGCTATGAAATTCGGATGCTATATTTCACAAAATATCTCAATTTTTGTTACTTTACTGTGTATGCATGTTTGTGTGTGTGTGATATGTGTGTTCCTGTTTGTGTGTAAAAGAAACAAATCACAGTTTGAGTAAAAAATATAAGTTTATATGTTTCTTTTTTATTTGTTTAATATCATCCTACTTTAATTGTTGTAATTTATTTGAATTAAGGGCTAAACTGTAAAATAAGATTTCTTGCATCTTTTGTAGTAAAATGAAACAATAAAGTTATTAGTCCACTGCATGTTAATAATAACCTTAGATGAGTTGAAGTGTTAGTAAAAGTAGTTATAATATACTAATGAAAACATGAATATCTAGCTGTAATTTCTTCTCTATGTTATTATTTTATCTAATATTATTATTTTATTTTTATTTTCAGATGCAACTCTTTAACAATGTGCTTGAGGAATTGAATGCATTCTTTGCGAATGTTGGGTTGGGACCAGATCAAGCCAATCAGGTCCACACTGGTCTTCAAGATGTACTTAACAATATTAATCAAAGTCTCCACGCCTTTGGAGTGCCTTTTAATACCGGATTTGGATTGCAATTTGGAGAAGACGACGTGGCAGCAGTGGATTCAGTTCTTGGGCCTGCGTAATGTAATACCCATTTGGTGAACGGGTTTAATTATTCTTCATTGTTTATAACTGTCTATACAATTGATGATGCATTTTATGGTATACCGGTAGTAACTTGAAATGTTTATGTAAAACTTCCATCATGCCTTGTTTTGTACCGAAAACAGGAGTATCCACTTTTCAGCTTTCATATGTTGCATATTAAAGTATGTAGCTATTGTTAACATAGTCCTAAGTTTAAAAACTTGAAAAAATAATCTTCATAAAAAACATATCTCAAAGTAAATTGCTCTCTTTAGGTGGTGTTTCCAAAGTGTCTTGCCCTAATAAAAAAATAATAATATACAAACATGTAATAAAAAGAAATGACTTTATGATGATTCCATCAAATAAATTAAGACAAATGTCATAAAAGCCTTTAAGTTTTCAAAAAATATTTGGATTTACCCTTTTGTGACTTTTCGGTTCATTAAAGCTAGATATTTTGTTTAATTTTTGCACATATTCCCTTTTTAGGGGCAAGAAACTGAACAGCCATGTATGCATTTTCGCTGACATGGACAATGGCAGACAGCCACGTATGCATTTTTTGCTGATGTGGACAATGGCAAGGATGCTGACTAGGCGCGTGTTCCCTTTGCTTAAAATATGAGAGGCTTGGAAGAAGTATGTGAGTTGCAAGATTCAAACCTAGCAACTCCTTTGTGCCTCCCACACTCCTTTAAACACCTTATCATTTGTGCCTTCCACACTCCTTTAAACACCTTACCACTAAGCTAGAATGTTTTTGTGTAGGGCTGATCATGGGTCGGGTTGGGTCAGTTTTAGGGTAATACTGAACCCAACCTATAAATTTCGGTTTCTGGGTTTAACTGTTTAAGAACTTGTTGGGTTCGGTTTTAAGTCAGTTTCGGTTTCTGGGTTTGTGGGTCGGTTTCATCGGTTTTGGGTTCAACCCATGGGGTTTGGGTTTAACCCGATGTGTTTTGGGTTGTAACCTTTTTTTTAGCAAATTTTTATAACTTAAAAAATGAAACAAAATTAACAACCTAGATTAAAAAAAACCAATTACAACACCAACACAACATCAAAAGTATGTTGCTAAAAATTTACAACAACCAAGTTTAACAAACAACAAACTTTAACAAGTTTTTAGAAACAAAAACTAGTACCAAACAACCAAGTTTAAATTAAAAACAACTAAATTGAATTTTTCATTACAACCAAGTTCAATCTCCAATCCTCAATCTTCATCCATGTGAATCATTTCATCATTTCCCAATTTATCTACAAAAAAAAGGTTAGTATTGAATTATAAACTTAAAATTATGCAAAAATACTTACCAAGTTCTACTTTCTCCAACTTCTCTTCCAATTCTACCACATATGCAACCGTCATGTTATTAAATTGAATATTAATTGGACTGGAACGTATCCGATCATGTGTACAAATCAGAGCTTTCGCGGTCTTCTCCGTAAGGGAGCTTCTAGTTGCATCAATCACCCTCCCGCCAACTCTAAATGTCGACTATGATGCTACGCTAGAGATCAGCATTCCTAAAACATGCCTCGCAACTTGAGAAAGTACAGGAAAATTTATGGAATTAAGTTTCCACCAATTTAAAATATGAAAATCCTCCGCCCACTTTTCCATTCCATTTCGACAAATAAACTTCAACCTCTGTTTTATTAACCCCTTTCCCACGTTGTTCCAAAAACCTTGCAAAATCATCTTCCAAATCAACTCCATCCCCACCATCAAAATAACCAGTTGTCTGTCTAGAAGATGATAAATCCATTGTCTTTTCACATCTTTCTCTCCGTGCTTTGTTCTTGAAGTGTTCAAACAACTCCATCAATGTCTTATTGACACGCTCCAAAATATTTTTTGTTTTGACAAAATCTTTGCCATAAATCAACTCTACGCAATACTCTAGATATCACATCTTATTGCGGGGATCTAAAACCACCGCAACATGAAGCAAGAAGTTTATATTATCAATGTTGTACCAATATTTATCATACTTTTCTTTCATCGATATTGCCATTCGTTTCTTTTTCTCGTCTATGCTTGCACACATTTTGGTAATGCTTGCTTGCACTGTCACAAGTTCACTAAAAAATAAATTGGCTTTAAATTACTTAGACCCATAAATCTTTTTTGTGACATTGAAAAATATCCTCAAATAGTCGATAAAAATCTAACAAAATAATAAAACAATATTAGTTTCCAAGCACATTAGATTTCACATTTGAAGTAAATTATATAAAATAAAAATATCTAGCAACCTCCAAATCGTCGGCATCGGGAGCCCCCACAACTTTCTCATGTCTTCTTCTTTTTCTTGTACTCCCCTCACCATCATCCTCATTCCCACAATAAGTTTTGAAACCAATATCAACCGCAATTAGTCTGTAATAAAAATAAAAACAAATTAAAACGTAAGTATGTAAATTATAAAAAAATTAAATATAGCATACTTCATAAGATACTTATCAAACGCAACCTCATATTTTTCCGCCGTCTCCAACATCAAAAACGTTGAACTCCATCTTATTTCTACATCGAGGCATGGTTTCTTAGTACATTTTATCTTCACTTTTTCAACATGTTATTTGAAAGTAACAGCCCTAGCACCCGATGACCTCACATACTTTATAACATTTCAGATCTTTTCGATGGAATCAAAATGCTCTTCTAACCCGTATTTAACCACAAAATTTATAATGTGAGCACAACGCCTCAAATGCAAGTACTTGCAATCCAAAAAAGAACGAGATCCCCTAAGCATGGTCGCTAGATACCTAATTGTCCCATCATTAGAAAAAGTATTATCCACAGTCACTATAAACACTTTCTCAATGCTCCAATTATGTAAGCATGAATAAACTAACTTTCCTTTAGTCACACCTTTGTGATTTGCAATTTTACAAAAATTTAGAATTTTCTTCCTAAAAACCCACTCATCATCAACCTAATGTGTCGTTAGACAACTGTAATTAGTGTTTTCGTATGGATGTCCAAATATCAGTGGTAATTGAGACAACTTGAACTTTTAAAACATTCTTAAGTTGAGACTCCTCTTCTTTGTATAACTTCAAAAAACCCCTTGTGACAGTCCACCTTGATGGAAATTTAAATAGAGGTTGTAAGTCTGATACAAACTCCCTAAATCCCTCATCGTCAACTACATTAAATGGTTGATTGTCTTTTACACACATACGGGCTAATGATTTCCTACACTTGTCTTGGCTAAAGGAATGAACTTCCAAAGAATTAGCCCCCGATTCTCCTGATTTTTTGAAACTCAACAAAGATTGTTTTTTCGAATCACCGGACTTGCCTTTAGGATCATAAACCGCAGAATTTACACAATAGAGTTTTAAGTGACTTCTCATTGAACTCGTACCATTCTTCTTGGTGTGTGCACACATCAACTTTGGAGAATATAGGCATTTCACTTTGTTCAAAGTCCTATCTATCTTGTTTTTATAAAAATGCTTCCATACCCAAGAACCATTTTGACCACCATCTTATTTTCACTAACTTCTTGATCTTCCTCGACATTAACAATTGGTGGACCCAGATTAGATTGCTTACTTCTACTTTCAGCCTCATCAACTATTTTTTGAGATCCTTCCATCTACATTAAAAACAAATAACATAGAAGATCAATTAAACACATTAAACTTAAAGTATTAACAAAAAGATTCAAGATTAATTATCTGCATTGTAAAGTTGTGATAGTGAAATAAATTAACAGATTGAAAAAAAAATCAATGAATCATGAATAGAACATAAATAAAAATAAAACTCCAGATTATGAAAACAAACACATGACAATTTCATATTATGAAAGCAAATCAGATTCAAGCTAAATTACCAGCATTGTAAGTTGTAACAGTAAACATTGAACAATTATAACCGTTAATATTTAACTAATCAGTGAACAATAATAAATTAATTAGGCATACAGCAGTAGCAAATCAGCATTACAATATGTCAATATGATAAAGATGTGAAAAAACTCATACAAATGTGTAAAATCAGCCTTACATATATGAAAAAACTGAAAAAAAAAACTCAACATGTTTGAAACTAAGAACTTAGAAGTTAGAACTAAGAAAAGATTAAAAGAAGGTTTACTTGTCGATTTTGCTGCCGGAGAAATGAATTCTATCTTCAATTACTTGTCTTTGGCTTTTTGCTAGGGGTGAGCGCGGTGCGGTTATTACCTAAAACCTCACCACTAACCACAAATGCGGTTAATCCATTTTCAAAACCGTTTGGTGCGGTTATTTTTGCGGTGCGGTTAGACGGTTATTTTTGCGGTGCTGTTGTGTTTTTTTGTGTTTCGGTTATTAACCGCATAAATTTGGTGTGGTTATTTTGTGTGGTTTTTAACCGCAATTTAGAGTTCAAAACGGTTTTAAGAGTTCAAACATATTACTTGTATTAATAAAAAAACCATAAGGTATAAGGCAACTAACTTAAATCACAAACAACTAATATCTTAAAAACGTCAAATCACTAGTAATTAACAATAAATATCTTAAAATTGTCAAATTTCGCCATTTTCAAAAATTAAACATAACAAAAAACCAACATTTTTGTTTTCTAGATTTTTACCCTTCTTTCATTAATGAAACTTGCCTTATTTTTAGTATTTAATATATTAATAATTAATAAAAAAAATTGTATATAATATATGATGTGCGGTGCAGTTTTTTTTTGCAGTTTCTGAAAACTAATAACCGTATCCCACTGCAAATTTGCGGTTTTTGAAAAACTAAAAACCTCACCATCGGTTTTTATTGCGGTTGCAGTTTATCGGTTGCAGTTTGAGCGGTTCTTGCGGTTAATTTTAGTTGCGGTGCGGTTTTTGCTCACCTCTACTTTTTGCTACCTTCCTTCTTCGTTCCTTCAGTTTTCTACTGACGTTCACCACCAGCCACCACTGCACCGTCGACCACTATAGTGCACTGGTGTGACTTGCGAGTGTGCGACAAGCCGGCAATGCGAAATCGAAAATTGCGAGGCAGAAAGACAACAAGAGTGAAGACCAAAGAGTTTAGGGCTTGTGGCCTGAGGCGAAAGAGTGAAGAGAACGAGATCTCATTAGGTTTTTTCCACTTTCTATTTTCCGATGGAACAAAAACAAATAAATGGTATATATTTTCTATTTTATTAA